CTCAAGTTTCTTTCTAGTTCCTTGTAATTTAACATTTAAGTCATTCAAATGTTTACAAAAATTGTAAATGGAAGATTATAAGAGAGGGTTTCGCATGCCAGCAAAAGTTACTGGTGTGCCATGTTTGGCATGCATGCCAGGGGTTGCCCACCCCTGCCCTAGGCCATACCTAACCTCAATAAATTAAAAAAAAAAAAAAAAAAAACAATCCAGCCCAGCCAGCATGGTTCAGCGGTTGAGCATGGACCTATGAGCCTGGAGGTCACAGTTCAATTCCCAGTTAGAGCACTGCCCAGGTTGCAGACTCAATCCCCAGTAGGGGACATGCAGGAGGCAGCCAATCAATGATTCTCTCATCATTGATGTTCTCTCTCATTCTCTACCTCTATCTCTGAAATCTATTTTAAAAAAAATTTTTTTAATCCAGTCCAGGCTTTATTCCTTGCTCTCTCAAGCCATCTCCCACTTGCTTGAGAGGCCTGCCCAGCTCTCCCGAGAGACCTCAGTTACAAAAGTCATAAACCCTTTCATACATTCCTGTTAAGTGTAGAGAAAACCCACTTCTTTCCTCCACTGGGCTCGGCGGCAATCAGACCCGCCGGTGTTTTCTCGGGGGTTCCTACATGGGAAGAACATGTAGTCTGTGTGGTCCCCAGGCCGTCCTTTCTCCCCAGGAGGACCTGTTTTCTCTTGAGTTTTACAGATGTTTGGGGAGCAGGGCCTCAAGTCCATGATTCTGTCACCCCAGAGTTTGGGAATGTGTATTGGTCTCAACTATTCATCCAGACTTTGGGTGGAGTTGGGGTCCACCTTTCAATGCAGGTTATAGGAAACATAACATAGTGTATATACATATTGCAACACACTTTCATTTTTTTTCTAGCGATAAATTCTCCAGATCTTTTCATAGCAATACCCTTTGTTTTTTAAAAGTACATATAGTGATGAATTTATGTAACTCATTCTTTCTAAATAGACACTTGGCTTGTTACCAATTTTTGCTGCCAAAACCATGAATGAAAACTCAGATTACAACTTTACAGGGCAAACAAACCTATACAAATTATGTTCTTTTCCAATCTTAATTACTTCTTAATTTTATCATCAAATATATTCAGAAAAGATTGTACAAACTGAGTTATGGTAAGACTTATTAATAACAGAACAAACACCCTTGGAATCATCATCAAGATTCATAAATGGCCTGTGGGCAGTGGTGAGGGTCTCCTGATGTTCCCATCCCTGACTCATTGTGTCCTGCCCCTAGATGACCACTGCCCTGATTTATTCTTTGTACCTTTGTCATCTATTATTTTTCACTAAGCAGTGTTCTTTCAGTTTTGCCTCCTTTGACCTTCCAAAGAATGAGTATTAATGGAGTTCTTTGAAAAGTTTTCCCTTGGATACTTAGCCTTCTATGGACAAAAAGGGGACACATGCTAACCTGACAAGCTCAGGAAATGCCTGCATGGCAGCCTTGCAAACTCAGAGACCTAAAATAACCACGCACAAAATGGTCTGGAATTAAAACTTCTTGCCGAAACCGGTTTGGCTCAGTGGATAGAGCGTCGGCCTGCGGATACTTGAATAGAAAGAACAATTTATTGAAGAGAGTATTTCTGCCCAGCCAGTGTTGCTCAGTGGTTCAGCACCGACCTATGAACCAGGAGGCTATGAATCGATTCCAGTCAAGGGCACATGCCTGGGTTGCGAGCTCAATCCCCAGTAGGGGGTGTGCAGGAGGCAACCGATCAATGATTCTCATCATTGATGTTTTTATCTCTCTGTCCCTCTCCCTTCCTCTCTGAAATCAATAAAAATATTTTTTTAAAAAACTTTTTAACTAAAAGCAGTTTATGGCAGGTAGTCATGTCCTAGGCTAGAATCTTCCCTAACAAAAGTCAATCTTTACCTTAATTTTTTTGCATCTAAGATAACAGGGGATGTCAGGGTAACTTCTCTTTTTCCGGACTCCTCAGGGCACCAGAGCAGAGACTACAAATCCTCTCATTGTTATTTTTGTCATATTAATTGTTTACTATTAACTATCCTGTACCCACCTATGTAAAAGATGTATGTGTCTGTCATTTTATCTTTTGTCCAATCCCAGAGGCCCTCCCACCATGTCTTTGCTTTCTCCCACTTCCCTAATCTATCACCAATGAATTTCTTTTCTTTTTTAATATATATTTTTATTGATTTCAGAAAGGAAAGGTGAGAGAGATAGAAACTTCAGTGATGAGAATTACTGATCGGCTGCCTCCTGCACCCCCCCACTGGGAATCCAGGGCAAACCCGGACCTGTGCCCAGACTGGGAATCCTGTGGTGACCTCCTGGTTCATAGGTTGATGCAGGCATCTGAGGCTTGGGGTCTGGTCTAGCACTATGGGCTTCAAACTTCCCACCAGAGCCAAGTGCCCCCGAGACCACAGGATTCTTTAAAGTACCAGATAAGTGGGGGTGGGGGGCAGAAGGGCGGACATCTCCTTGCTGGAAATGGTCAACCTTAAAAATGGAACCAGCCGAAACCGGTTTGGCTCAGTGGATAGAGCGTCGGCCTGCGGACTGAAGGGTCCCGGGTTCGATTCCGGTCAAGGGCATGTGCCTGAGTTGCGGGCACATCCCCAGTGGGAGATGTGCAGGAGGCAGCTGATCGATGTTTCTCTCATGAAGTTTCTAACTCTCTATCTCTCTCCCTTCCTCTCTGTAAAAAATCAATAAAATATATTTTTAAAAAAAAAATGGAACCAGAGTCATTATTACATATGAAGAGGTCTTTTTTAAGTGTCTCTGTTTTTTGAAGAAGGGCCATGAGTGGCCTGACAGCCTTATGGTTAAAGGTCAGATTCAGACCCAGTGCTAAGACAAGGTCGGCTCAAAGACGTAACCTCCAGCTTGCTGTCACTCAGGCATGAGGGGGCGGGATCTCGCAAACTCTCCAATCAGGGGAGTTGCCGACAACTACGTGAGGGCGGAGCTCTGCGCGGACTGTGGTTTCATCGCTGCTCTCGCCATCCGCTGGCCTTTAAAGGCGTCAGGTAGCTTCTCCACGCCCTCTGTCGCTGAGACCTGCACCTCTGCGGGAGGCGGCGTGGGCCACGGGGACCCCTGAGGTCGAGAAATGGTGAGTGTGGCCGGGAAGTCAGGGAAGGAGGTTGGTGGACCCACCGTGGCCAGACCGGCCTCCCAGAGGACGCTCTGGAGTTTGGGGATGTGAGGGCGGCGGGGGGGTGCGGCGGCAGCAATCAGACCCGCCGGCGCTTCTCCGGCGCTTCTCCTGTCACCGGCTGTGTCCCGAGAATGTTCAGAAGACACAGGGAGGACCTTCAGGAGACAATCGGGACTCCTCTCGGGGGTTCCTATGTGGGGAGAACTGTGGTCTGTGTGGTCCCCGGGGCGTCCTTTCTCCCCAGGGGGACCCGTTTTTTTCTCTTGAGTTTTACAGATGTTTGGGGAGCAGGGCCTCAAATCCACGACTCTGTGCCCCCAACCTAGGTCTTTCTGGGACTGGCCGTAAATC